AACTATCCAAGAAGTTACGAGGCTTTAAAGATGCGACGTCTTTGGCATGAGCTGTAAGTAACAGGATATTTTCACAGGAAGAAATGGTATCAAATAATAAAGGATCTCAACAAGAAACCAATATATTCACACCTATCCTACAATAACCAGAAGAGTCTAGAACTCTAAGAGACACTACTACAAAAGTCAATGGACTTCACAGAGTGTTACAACTAGGTTTCAGAACACGTTGTAGCTGTAGAGATAACTCCCAATACTAGACCGGCGATTGGAACCCTGTTACCCAGAGCAATCAAGGGTTACTGACCATGGGATTATCTGTTAATCAGGTAGAATAGCTTCTAGTGAATTAGTAGAAAGTCCTCCGAAAGATATCTGTTAGTTGGTTAGGGAATTATGAAGGTTTGAAGTCAGGTGACCAAGAAAGGTTACGACTATGACTACCTTTACAGAGACAACATGCAGATAAAACTAATCATTTCATCAATGACTAAAACAGTTGAGGCCAACTCAGTTTGATTTAAGAACAAGGCCATAAGTCTAAAGACTCTGATGATTGGATAATTACTATTGGGAACAGCATGGTTCCTAGTTAGTTATATTGTATTTACTGAAGAGGGTGTGGTGATTTTCAGGGCTTACAGGTGTTTACATCTTAGAAGAATACCTGATGTTGCGAGTTATACTTAGAGAGGTACTTAGTTGTATAATAGATAGATGTAGTCTGCAAATACTCAGAGGCAGAATATAAATATTAAAGTGCCTTCCAAGCTTTTAAACATTATCAAGCAACGGTGAAGAGACTTTAACAATATAATATAGTCTTCACAATTCTATTCTACTTTACCTGCTTTACTTTGCTCTTAGTAGTCATAAATGAAACAAGTGAAGTCTGAGCCTTCCTAGATAATCTCCATCTACAGGAACAAATCTTGGTTAGCCTAGACAACTCTGAAGTCTATCAGGTTGTCTTCACCTAACAATCTGTCTCCCAAGCCTGACAGCCAGAAGGGATGCAATGCTGCTCTCACAGCTGAGCAAACAATGCACTTGGTTGAGCTGGCACTCTCAGATAGTGAGTATTGTCATATGACATTTGGACAACTTACCTACATTGATAGAAGAATACTTTTATACAATTCAGATTTTATTATATTTAGTTAATTTATTATGATATGTACATAAAGCTAATAAATATTAATTAAAAAGTTGGCCTAGATATTTGTAGTCTAACAGTGAAAAGGGTTCTTACAAAAAATAATATCTATTGGTGAAAGGCAACAGAAAAACCTACCCTCTCCCAGAAACACAAGGATGCTTGATTATCATTCTGCTTGCAGTACCGGTACCAGAACTGGGCAGAGGTCGTATTCACAGATGAATCATACTTTAAAATGGGGGCTTTATACTGACTACAGGCTCATAGAGTTCTATAGTAACCTGGTGAGGCCTACCTTCTACAAAATATAAATCAAAAGTTTGCACAAGGGGCTACTGTAATCTTCTGGGGAGCTATAGTGTATGGAAAGGCAGGTAAATTCATTCTTTTTATTTAATTTATTTACATGTTTTAATACTAATCCACAATATATATAGGGGTAGTGTTAGGCGGAGACAACTTGGTAGACTTCAAAGTTGTCTAGGCCAATCGAGATTCGTTTCTGTAGACGGAGATTGTCTAGGAAGGCTCAGACTTGGCTTGTTTCATTTATGACTACTAGGAGTAAAGTGGAATAGGTAAAGTAGGGTAGAATCGTAAAAACAATATTATATTGTTAAGGTCTCTTCTCCGTTGCTTGATGATGTCTAAAGCTTTGGGGTGCACTTCAATATTTATATTCCGCGTCTGAGTGTTCGCGGACTACATCTATTTATCATACAACTATGTACTTCTTCAATCGTAATTCGTGACATCAAGTTTTCTTCCAAGGTACGAATACCTGTGGACCCTGAAAAACTATTACACCCTTTTCGGTAATTCCAATATTTCTTCTTAGGAAGCGTGCTGCCCCCAATAGTAATATCCCGATTAGCAGAATCTTTAGACTTATGGCCTAGTTCTTAAGTCGAACTGAGTTGGCTCCAATTGTCTTCGCCATTGATAAAATGATCAGTTTTATTCACAGCTATATCTGCAAAGGTGGTCGTCATTACAACCATCGTAGGTCGTCTGACTCCGATCCTTTATAACTCCATACCTAACCGATAGGTTTTCTTTGGATGACTTCCTATTAACTCACAGGAAGCTATTCCACCAGTTTGGTAATTAATCCCTCGGTTGGCAATCCTTAGTTGCTCTCTGGGTAGTAGGTTTCAGTAACCATTGTAGTATTGAGAATCACCCCATGGCTACGATGTGTTCTGAAACCCAGTTGTAACACTCCCTGACGTTTGTTGGCTTCTTTGGTAGTGTCTTTTGGAGTTCTAGACTCTTCTGGTAGATGTAAATGTATTGGTCTCTAGTAGAGATTCTTTACCATTTGATACCATCTCTTTGTGCAAAACCGTCCCATTACTTACAGCCCATACCAAAGGTGTCATATCTTTGAAGCCTAGTAACTCTCTGAGTAGTTGACAGAATCACTCCGTTCCACTTCTCAGACCTAGCTGAAGGTCCCCTCTCATATATCCTGCGAACAGGATCCGGTCGGAAGGACGGCGACAACGTATATGGTATTATTCTAACACCTTCAATTCTGTGGTAATATAGTCACAGGACGCAACTGAGATTAATATATATGATGATGAGCAGGACCCATAAGGGAGCCGGAGGGGGGTGTTGGAGACCAGAGATTCCGATTCTGAGTGGGGTTACCCTACTTAGGGTGGTTCTTAGGTATCGGGTTCTGGTATTCCTAATAGGTAGAACTTCTATACCATCTGTATGTAACTCTATATGAGTTGAAAAACCAGAAGGCTGCCGCTCTTCTCCAGTTCTGCTGAGAGTGGGAAGAAAATGCCAAGGTTGAGAAGTATAACCTCATAAACCTTGGTGTTGAGAATCCAAGATCTCTACCGGAGATGATGAAATGAGGGAAGGATAGAAAAAAGGATATAGATTGGTTCATATATCGTAAATGTATTCTAAGCCCCCTCCTCTATCCTTTTATAACCCTGGTCCAGGCTGCCGTCCTGGGGTGGTAATAATGGAGGATAATGCGCCAGCACATATCCACCATTATCATGACAGCCCACAGCAGCAGTTTGGATTTTGGAAGCTGGAATGACAGGCAAACTCCCCATATCTCAACCTGATTGAGACAATCTGGTGTGAGATGAAGGATAGTATTAAGGCATGAGTAGGAATTTGGGTTACTGCTGCTGGAATTCAGATGGTTGTGGAGGATGAATGGCTCTGGTATCCTATAGAGATGATAAATCAGCATATTATGTCTATGCAGAGCCGGATAGAAGTATGTATTACTAATGGTGGTAGTAATTCCTTTAACCATTAGTTGTTTTATAATTTGTTTTCATTTCTATTTTCTATCTAAATATTGTACAGTAATTTACCGCTGGCCTACTGCCAAGTGACCATTCTATGATTCTATTTCTTGAAACCCTCTTCAGAATCTCCTCCTAGCAGCTCTTGCCCCTGATCCCTTTCAAGAAGCTATTCCGTGTTTCTAAAAGGTTCTTCCCTTCCTGCTCATGTAGGTCTCCTGCACATTTTCTCAGCTGCATATGCGGGATCATGTGGACCCGGTCGTTTTTACAAACGTCAGAAAATTACGAGTACTTGTACCGGTACGCCCCACAACATATGACACGAGAACAAAATCACAATAGACCCATCCAAGTAAAACAGTCTCATTTTAACATGAACCAGGCATCTACAATTCTATGACAGTCTGGTCTACCGAAAGCATAACACCCCATCCCTCCCACAGACCAGCCATCTAAAAAGAACTGAACTAATACGGCACCGGTCGCTTCCCGGAGTTTCCCGTTTTTATATATCTCGAGAGAGGGCCATTCTGGTGATGAGCCCTGCGCTGATTATGCGCAGCTGGTTTCGTTTAATACCTGTGCCATGAGTCAGAGATAACGATCACGAATTGTGATGGTCGTAGTAATGATGAATGCTCCAGCACTCAGGAAGTGCATCGGAATTAACTGGCTCCGGTGCGCTCTGTTGCTTTTCACTTGAGCCGGATTCCGGGGGAACAATGCTCATCTCCGAATTTTAATTTGCGAGTTGTGGCTTGCCCAGCCGACGGAATCGTCAAAGGTAAAACCATAAATAATTGGTCACGGAGGTCCAGATTCATTTTCGTGACCCCTTTACCAGGCGTCATAACAGGATTCCGTATATATTCCGATCCCCAGCTCTTGCGAATTTTCAGTTCATACCGACACCTCAACTAGGAGATGATCACCCAAAATCACTCGCAGCGCCAAACCGCCTTATCGCCTATGCCTCTGGATCTGTAAACAAAGAAACGAAAAGTGACTCGGTTAGCGGAGAAAGCTTCCAAACACCGTTCTAGGCCTCCGGTGCTTTCAATTAATTGGTCCGGGGAACCATCAGCCCATGGACACAGATACCTGATGCAGCATCGGGGCGTAGTCCGTTTAATACTGCACTTTGCGCAAAGCCTGAATTCGCACGATACTGGGGCCTCGCTAAACTGCGGAAGAGTGAGCCGGAGGGATGGATAGGCTATGGTGCGATGCTCAGACCACCCCCCGGCCCCTCGATGGGATACTGCTGATCTCAGCTAAGTTAACCAGAACTTGCATTGCGAAAGATTGCGGCACCAGTACGGTAGTCAGGAGAACGGCGAGACACAACCAGCTAGCTTCAATGGGGGAAGAATAGCAGGCACATGGTGGACCAAAATATCAAGGAGGAATAGCAATATCTGCCGAGTCAGCGTTACTCTATGATACATACCAAGGCAAGGCTTACTAGCAACAATTTGCTCGCAAACTCCAAATGACATTTCACAAGTGGACCTTTCATAACCATCTGACGTAAGGAAAATCGTAGCCAAAGCAGCGGTATCAAGGATCTCCTAGTACAGGGTCCCCCTTTCTTTATTCATGAGAAATTACCCAATCTACCGTATCCCGTAAAAGAACTAGACAAGGGATATATTGTTATAATTTTTCGTGAGAGCAAGAAAAAAAAGAAATCGCCACTATGCACCACCCAACCTGGCAACAACCTCGGCCATTTCTTCGTCCTTGTAGATTTTGAAACCCTTCTCCTTGGTAACGCTGGCGAGCTGAACGTTCTTCGAGTCGAGCTTCTCTTCCATGACTTGTTTAAGAGTTTTAAGGACGAGAGTCTCGGCTTCTTCAAGTGTCAAGGACTAAAAAACACCAGACGAAGTGTCAGCAATTTTTCGCATCAGAAGATTCGCCCAGGAGATGGCCGCATTACGCTATGGTATTCGTTCTGCAATTCCGCCTGAGCTCCCTCACTCCCAGAACCTATAGCCTTTGCATCGTACCGGTAGAACGTTCCGGAGGGCTCGGCATGGTACCTGAGTTGAATCAAATTTGCATCAGTATCTATCCCGTACACCCAACACCCGGCGGCCAGGGAGTAACCAACAATTGGGGCCCATCCTCATCATATCCAGCAATCAGCAATGCAACACCGAATGGTCTCGACATAATACTTTCCTCCCCATCAGCACCCTCTCCAAACCTCAGAGCAAGATCGCAAATAGCCTGAGTGCAGCTCTCAACACGAAGAGGCTCGTTGTAATGGAAACTGTGATTCTGGGCCTCGACTCTAGCATGTTCAATCATTGACCTCGCATCCGCCTGAAGACCTGACATGGCACATCCTAGATGGCGGTCTATCTCCACTATCTTCTCAACAGACGAAGCTTCAAGAAGTGGCGATGTTACACGCTTCTCCACACCAATTATAACGCCGTATCCCGTCGCCACCTGTCGATTATCCCAGATTCATTAGATTTCCAAAACGTGCGGGGTGATCGATGGTGGGGTATTATTGGCGAAGGTGGGGTACGCACCCCGATAGCAGTCGAACCAAGCTTGATCGCCTCCAGCGAGTACTCGACCTGGAATAGACGGCCTTCGGGAGAGAAGGTACTGGATGAAGCTGATTAGTTTGGTGATGGAAAGATGTCTCTGCGGGAGGAAATTTTACGAACTTGATACCGCGATCTGCAGGTACGACGGACCATCCGAATCAGCTATTTTAGACGAATCCGGGAAGGAGATAAGAGGGGAAGGAGTGCAAACCGTATTCTGACCGTGCAATAAACATCTTGTTTGAGTAGTTGCGATTTTCTCGGAGATGATGGGGAGATGGAAATGGATCGAGGTTGAAGCTAGTGTAGTATTCGCTGGGTTGTCGGGGTTTGTGTGCCGGGGACGACGCGAGACATTATAGAGAGGCGCTTACCCAGCCACAGTTGCCACGTGCCCTCCACAATCCACGAGTCTCGGCTCGAGTGATGTACCGTGAGTGCAGTGTTCACCTACTGCGGTAGGCTCTCCATAGCACTTCACAATATTGCACACTCAGAATGACTTCTATCCTTTACTACCACTCCCACAGCGGCCTACACAGCCTCCTTCTCTGCCGCTGACGACAAAAAACACCCCGAAACCATACCCGTCGGCACTCAAATGTTCTATATTTCCCAATGTAGAGTGAAACTAAGGCCCTGTTTGGTACGCCAGAAAAACTGTGCTCTTTTATATGGCGGGACAAACAGGGCCTATCTCCTCTTCTTACAGGTGTTTGGTGCCCCATTTTTAATAAATTGGGGAGCTGATATTTTTTTATTTTGAGACCGCATGAAAACCGGGAATTTTTTCCTTTTTGGAGTTCCCAGAAGAGGCTGGAGTTAAGTTAAGGTCTACAATTATTACGTGCTTTCTACCTTAGCAACTCTAGTCAATATTGCTAGTGATATAAGTGGATGGAAGTGGGGTAAAGAAAGGTTTGCACGGTAATTCGTGTGCTGTACTGTCTTTGCAATGTTCACGAATGAACTTCACCAACTTCTAAGACTGATATCCATCCATGTAGTTATTTTCTAGCAAACACAAATGGATAAAGTATGTATTGTAGACGGCGAATCATAATCTGTCCAATCAACGTAAAGAAGCCCAGACCAAGCACTTGTAAACTCTAGAATTAGGATTCAAGAGTTAGGTATAAAAAAAAAGTATCAATTATCCATCATCAGCAGCCATCCATCATCTCTCATAGAACACCTATTTCTGCCCACCCAGCAATCACCTCCATCTCTGAACTGTTCATTGGTTGGTGCAACCTGGTTTCTCAGAAAGTTCGCCCTGCGGAAGGTAAGGCTTTCGTACAAATTGGGTCAGTTCCTTCGCCATGCAGGATCAAGGGGGGAAAAAATAAAAAAACAGACCTCATGCTCGAACACATCGTCAAAACTCATTTCAAACCTCTCGTCATATATCTCGGGACACCTATCAGAGGGAAGCTTGGTCTGTTCTGCGGAAGCGAGTTTTCCGAGAATTGCCTCCTTTGCCATGTCAACAGTATCAAGCTCCCTGGGGTCAAAAAAGTGGACAGTCAAGCCGCCATTTTGATGAGATGGTCTATTACTTGCGCTGTTGTAAGGATAGTATCCACTACAACGCCCGGAAAAGTTGCTGGGGGGCTCAAAATGTCCTCTTCTACACTCGGTTCCTAAAATCCCTTTCACCTCTTCGCGAGCGCTCAGATTAAGCCCTATGTTGGACTTGAATGCGGAGTATAGGAGCAGCATTCTGGACCAGCCAATGTTAAACAATTGTATAGTATATCTCATTGTCCGGAGAAATCACTTACATAGACTGCATGGCCAAAAGCCCCTTCCAGGTCCAAATATACGGAGGATCGCTGGGGGTAAGATCTCGACACAAGCTCCATACAAGCGTAATCTGGAAGGCGAGTAGGACATCAACTAGATACGCCAAACGAAGAAATATTCTAGAGGGTTTAAAGCAAGATAAGAACATAAATCATAAACAAGTAAAGAATAAAAAATAAGGAAGAAATCGAAATACTTGCATCTGTGTCTCAGGAATTGCATTGGAGCACAAAAAAGCATAGAGGGTGTATAAGACAAGCTCGCAGCACTACCCCCCCGGCGCAATGTTAATTTCGATGCCAAAACAAGAGCTGAGTGGTAATAGCGATGGGAGGTCAAGAGAGGAAGTGAGAGCACAGTACTTACAATTATAATAGGAATTTGTAAACGGCCGTGGAGGAAAGATAGACAATAACACATAGGCATATCCTTCTCAACCTCCAACAAGAGAAGGATACCGGTGATCCATTGAAAGAATCTCACGATACGCATCTTAACCCCTTCGTGTTTGATAAAGGTGCGAACAATCTTCTCTTCTTCACAGAAAGGGATCTCCAAGTAAGACATGATAAGGAAAGACTAAAGAATGGTTATTCTAGTAGAATAACTGAGGGTTAAGAGCTCGGAGACAGAAGTCAAGAAGGGGGTGAATGGTTAAGCCTGAGGGTAATGATCGATGTTGGGTAAGCTTGAGAAGAGCAGGAACTTGGGGAAAAAGTGCCCCTTTTATAGGAATCCTTAGAGGCGAAATTCAGAAATTTAGCTTACGACTTAGTAGCCCTTTAACGTACGGTACTGGCCTGCTTCCTCGTCATCTATTGGCCTGGAAATCGTGTGGAAAGTGTTGGGACGGATAAAAAAAAGTTTTATTTTGAAAGCTTAAAAATCCGGTATACCAAAATCCACATCAGCTCCTGCCCAAATTGGAGAAAAAGCTGAGCTGTCTTTCCATTTCCCTGGCCCCTAGACTCTCCACTGGATTCCCAGTCACTGACATTGAAACTCCCGCCCTGGTAGTAGATTTATTGGATTTCTGAAGGAATCGCCTGGCGACCAAAGTGGATGCCATAACTGAGCGTATCCTTTTCATTATTCATGGAGAGATTCACTACTCTATCTACATTACCGCGCGCAAAGAATTGAACAATGTATACCTGTCACAACTTCTCAATGCCATTGGACCAAGGGGATTGAAGAACTTGACGCGCTCACTCGAAAATGGGGAGTACACGACGTCCGAACAAGCCAAGAGCGCAAGATCACAGCACACCCAGCTGAAAATCGATACTAGGTTATCAGGGAACACTAATCCCATGACAGATGGCTTGCTGTGAAGAATCTGTGGGCAATTAATACGGCGTTGGGCAACAATTGCACTCCAACCTTCGAGTGAGGGACGGTGATGTAAAAATTTTCTTACAAGCCACAACATTCAACGTGCCACATTATCACACCATCATCTGAATTTGCATCCCCATAAATCGAGTTTTATTACGCGAGCGTTGAAATTTTACCGTAAAAGAGCGAGCAAGAGCAACAGCAATATTGCCATCAATATACAGAGAAAACAAAGCCAGACCTTCATGGAGAACATTATGTATTGGTACGATTAAATGCAAAGGAACAACTAACTTGCCAGAATCATCCAGCCTCCTATACCCCAGCCGCTCTCCAACAAGCTTCTGAAATGGAGCCCACGATATCACACCCGACCAAAGAAAGAAAGAAAAAAAGAAAAAAAGAAAGAGAATACCAGCACCTCGCACTTATTTATAACCTTTTCCACTGGGAGTATTCCACCATTTTTGCTCAGTGATAACCTTGCTTTCAGATCTGGGAACGGGAACAGCTTTCCTCTTCTCTTCCATAAAGTTGTAAACCTCAGTGTGGTTATCATCGTCAATATCCCAGGTCTTCTCAACATGTGTCACATTCTCGGCCGCGCCACCATTAGCTGCTGATGAAATGTTGTCTACCCAGGTACTCTCCTGGTTCTTAACCATGCGCTCCCCAAGTGCGCCAAGTGGTCCACGAACACTACCACTGGCTCTGCGGGAAGAGTCGTGAAAAACCTCCTCACGTGTCTCGCCAAATGGTGTAGGACCAGAGCGGAGGAATCCAGGGCTCTGAAGGGCTTCGTCTGGGCGAAGATTATCGGTAAATTTTGTGAAACGAGTCTCCTTAGTAATGCGTTCATCAGCGAGCCCCCCAACATGGCCTCCGCTACTCTTATGGCCATGTCGTCGTTCGGCTTCGAACTCAAAATTGGCACGAGAATCAGAAGAAACTCCAGTGTGGAGATTGCTATGACTGGAACTGTGTTTTCCGCGATGGTCACGAGAATGGTCATTAAGATCAGAATCGGAGACCTTGCCGTCCCGCAATTCAACAGATTTCTGGCGGTAAAGAACGAGTTCACCACCTTTTCCATGATGGCCATGTTCACGCCCATGGCTGTGACTGCGGTGTTGGTGCTTACGGCCATGATGACTTCCGTGGCCGGTAACCGCTTGCTTTACAACACCTCCGACAGTAGCCCCAATAGCAGTGCCTACAGCTACAGCATTATTAACAACGTCGAAAACGGAGCTATGGCGGCCGCGTAGGTCGGAGTCGGAATGGCGTCCACGATTCGATTCTCCAAAGTGGTGCGAGTCATGCGAATCAGCACGACCTTCACGGATAGTAGTCTTTTCGATAATGTGAGTATCACCCAATCCACTGCGGCCCTCGTGGCGGGAGTGTTTGTTACCCTGAAACCGCGAGTCAGTCAAGCCATCAATGTTTTGCCCTTCACGGAAAATGGCATTTTCGGAGTGGGTCCGGTTTTCAACGAAACCCCCGTGTCCAGCACTACGAGAGGACCGTCCATGATGAATTCGGGTATCAGAGAGACCATCATAGCTATGGCTCTCACGGGCTTTAGTCTTTTCCGAGTGCATGTGTGAGTCACGGGAATCGAGCAAAGCATTTCGACCGGAATGACGAGAGGATCCGCCAACGTGAACAAGTGCGTTACTGTGACCGCCACCATGACCATGGCCATGACCAGCTCCATGCTCATGTCCTTCACGGATAGTAGTCTTCTCAGTAACGATGCGAGTATCCGCGAGCCCATCGAAACCCTCATTGTGGGAGGACCCGCCACCACCACGTATGTGCCCGTTACTCGTACCGCTGTGGCTATGGCTGTGCTCTTCGTGGAAGCGAGTTTCTCCGGAACGAATACGAGCGTCAGTCAAGTGGTCGTGTCCAGCGTGATGGGATGATCCTTCAACTTGGGCCAGGCCGTGTAGTCCGTGTCCGTGTCCATGTTCATGACCTCCATGGATGGTGGTCTTCTCGACACGAGTGTGCGAGTCAATCAACCCACCGCCACGGCCATGTCCGTGATGACGATCCTCAATCACTGTCATCTCTCCAGTATGGATACGATCGTCCCTCAATTCCCGAACATCAACATTTTCAACCAAGCCAGTACGGTTGTGGTCGGACATCCGGGCCTCGTCTTCGAACCGATTTCGGGAACCTGTGAAATTAACAGCATGAGACTGACGACCACTAGACTTGGCAAACTGGTTGTGGAAAGCAGCGTCGGAAATACCCCCAGTAGCCATAGCGACATGACTCTGGTGGCCGGTAGCCTCGCCAAATCGATTGTTGATAGAGGCATCGGCCATGGACTCATTGACACCATCCCTCCATTCTGCCACTCTCCCCCTCTTTGTGTGCACAACAACCTCTCCACCGTGGGCAGTATGCCCCCCGCGTTGGTCACGTCGTTCATGTCTATTGGTGTGTGAGGCAAAGTCTCCACCATGGGTGGCGCGTCCTTCGTGTTGTTCACGTCGTTCCTGTCTCTTGGTGTTTGAGGCAAAGTCTCCACCATGGGTGGCGTGTCCCCCGTGTTGTTCACGTCGTTCCCGTCTCTTGGTGTGCGAGACAAAGTCTCCACCATGGGTGGCGCGTCCTTCGTGTTGTTCACGTCGTTCCTGTCTCCTGGTGTTTGAGGCAAAGTCTCCACCATGGGCGGCGTGTCCTTCGTGTTGTTCACGTCGTTCCTGTCTCTTGGTGTGTGAGACAAAGTCTCCATCACGGGGGGCGAGTCCTTCGTGTTGCTCACGTCGTTCATACTTCTTGGTGTGTACGATAGCCTCTCCACCATGTGCAGTATGTCCTTCATGTCGGCCGTGTCGTTCCTGCTTCTCGTGTCTGTTCTTAAGATGGGCAGTAGTGGCCCCCGCCGCGACCGCAGCGGCACCGAGTTTCACTTTCCCACTGAGATGGTGACTGTTATCCGATGACCTGCGATGCTTGTGCCCACCGGCTAATGGTGTGTGCTCAACGATCTTCTCCTTGATATGTTCAACCTTTTCCCGGCCCCCCTCGATTACACCTGAAACCTTTGACCTTCCTGCCTCAACACTATGTTCGACAGCGTCTACGGCACCAACAGCCCCGTCAATGAGCCTCTTGCGTTTATGTCCCGCTTTGTCATAAGCATCCTTGGCTATAATCCGGGTAGTAGATCTGAACGAGTGATCATCTGCCTTATTATAGGCCCTCATTACAAAGTAGTACAGCGAAAGAATTGTCCGATGCACAGATTCTTTGATGAGAATGGATATCCCTATCTCAACGTGTTAAAAAAAGAACATGACTTTAGCTCAGAAAGAGGGGTCGATATACCATTAGAAACAAACCCCCTCGCTATCTCAACCATCACCCCCTCATATAAAGCGGCTACCCCCTCCCGTTTGAATATATCAACCAACACATGCACTACATTGTTAGCCCGCTTCACCTTCCTTCTAAGACCTTTTTTGATGGCTTTTCCAATAATATTCACTTCGACAGCAGCAATATCCTCCTCCTCGCCTTGGATTTGCGTCCTCGATTTTGCCACAGCCAGCGGGTAGGTAATTCCTGTAGCGATCGCTTTACTTACCGCCGCAAGTAAGAAGGTTTCTCCACCCTTGAGTTTCTTCTGTTTCCCGCCCGCCACTCTCTTCAAGCCTTCGTAGAGCAAGTAGGTGATTGTCGGGTTTAGTGTTAGCAGGCAGCCTGCAGAGTACCCAGACCAGAACCCTGTTATCCCCTTTTCTCTCATAACATCGTGGAATATGTCAGTTATCGTGGGTGGCTTTGCATGCGGGTACATGAGGGCATGAGTCTGCTTGCGAGTGACAATCGTGGAGAATGGGGTGGATATGAATTTGGCAGCCGAGCTGGCAGCAATACCAATCAATATTTCCTCAATAACTGGTAGTTTGTGTGCGTGGCGAGAGTGCATACGCTTATTGCGGAGGTAGTGATCTATTGCTCAGTAATCAGTACTATCCCTTAGCAGGTATCAAACAATGAAATCTCACGAATCATTATATGCACGAACGTGCTTCCTATAATGCCCGCTGTTTCCTCTACAGCACCGGTATAGAACCCACTTATGCCCTCTCTCGCATAAATCTTTTGGACGGTTTCGAAAAAGCCGTCATAATATTCCTCACTGCTACTACTTTCATAATGGTGCTCCCAGACCACCTTGGTCTCCTCAGCCCCATGCTCGACATACGGTGAAGTATAAGAGATGTGCTCCTCTGTTTTGCGGGAATGAGATCCACCTCTTTCACCCCTCCCACGCCGATCATCCGGCCTCGAAGGTGAGCCACCCCGCGACCCCGTCCTTGTACGGCTGTGAGAGCGTTGTCGGTGAGAGTCCGACGAAGAAGACGACGAAGATGAACTACGTCTCATACCCCCTTTCTTTCGGTGGGAACGTGAACGTCTTGGCCGTCCACCATGCGCATAGTAAATTTCGCGCTGTGTTTGCATGCGCTTGACTATAACCTCTAAGGGGAAGACAACCAGATTAGCAACTGAAGACCCTAGTGCGCCAGAGAAAGCAAGCGCGGCTGCGGGTATTGCATTCTCCCCATGATGGTGCGGTTCGTGACGGTGCCGGTGGCCATCACGATGATCATGGCGGTCAGGGCGACCGCGACGTCGGTTGAGGCTATGACGGTCACGATCTAAAAAATGGCCAACCTGGTTGTGGGAAGACGACGAGGACGAGTGTTCAATTGTGCGAACCACCTTCGGTTTTCTATAATAGATTGGTTAGATCGCGAGAAGTATGAAATGGTATGCGGTTGTTTACGTGACATGGTACACATCAAACACGTCCTGAGAAAACACAAGAATTAATCCAAGGTCTATTTCCACTCCAGTAATACCACAGCGTGAGGGGGGAACCCACCAGTTCGTCATCATAGTAAACCATCTCGTCTCGTTGAAGAGAATTCCAACTTCCTCAATAATTCAATTCCAACAGCAAACAAACAAACAAATCCAGACGAGAGACTAAACAGCAACTACAGTTCAGCGTCTACACGTAGCAGTCGCGGATAAGCAAAAAAGGACCACCAACAAAACAACAAACGATCAATCGGAAAGAACAAGAATAGTCGAAATATGCCTTTTTTTCCTCCCCCTTCTCTCCTCCTTCCCTCTCAACCCCCTTTGCGGGGGATCAAGGATACTTTAAAACGATCTCAAAGAGCGAGTCAAAAATGCGCATGAGAAGCCAATTGCTGCGGGGAAGTAACAAAAAAACCACGATAGAACTGCAAGGGTGTTTGCGCACACGTCACAGTCCTCTATCGCAAAGCGGCAGCAGACATGGAGGAAAAGATGGCTCCGGTCAGAGTGAATGGAAATGAAGCTCTCACTTGTGGGCAGCTGAGTGCGCTACGGATGTGAATCTACGATCACCCAAAGTCTTGGCTCCTTGTCCGGTGTTCCAAAGGGGGAAGGAAGTTATGGTGCTCGTATCGTAGACCGAAGCTATCCTGTAGCCGTTGTGTTGAGATCTGCAACAGCGTCTTTCTTTTGCTTCAACCTTGCCCCCAGGATTTCACGAAAAGCGCGTAAGAAGCAGCGAAGAGAATGAGTCAAAAAAGCCAGAGGAAAAGGTGTTGAAGTATCATGACAGGAAGAAAAATATGCGAACTCAAATAAGATAAATACAGTGCTAGTAAGGACCAAAGATGCAGGTAGGCAAATTCAATAGTCAAAGTATGGCACAATCAGAGTGTCCCCCTCCATCCGCTTATACAGCCAATGAGTGGCTGCTACCGGCCTTAGCCTCGTATAATTCCAACAACATGCAGTAAATACCTCCTGATCCCGCAAACACTTGAAAAACCAGCAAACATGTCGAAGCCAGGTGGCAGGAGCTGAAGCGTGCATTGGAAAAGCGACTCGCTATCAGGAAACACCATTGTTGAAACGGATATCAAAAGTTCGGTCACCAACAGATCCCAATACTGATACCGGTACTGTACCCCATTGTACGCAACTAGCCCTCAACATCACGGCCAATGATCCCACTAACCGGCTTCCATGCCCCACCAGGAAGAGAGCGATCACGAACTTCCTTCCACTCAGCACGTTTCTGGGGATAAATAGGGTATTAAATGGGAAAACTATCTTGTCATTTGTCACAAGCTCTCGCTCGATGTGCTCAAAATTGCATAGCGATCTTATTCTGTGCCGTCTTTGCTTCTCCCTCTACCAATAAACATGGCCACCCTACAAAAACAAAATAAAGAAATACGGCTCGCAGTATATCATGAATATCCAATCTTTATTTCCCTCAAACTCCCCGTAACTCAGACCAGCCTAGCTTCACCAATCTTTTCTCAGAGCTTTCAGTATAACGCATTGTCCGCACATACGTTACCAGTAACTAGAAACTGAAGACTTGGTCTGGCAACTTGGACACGGGCTTTGCAGGCTCGTAGCCCAAAGCTGCAGTAGCCTTCTTCATAGCACTGATCATGGGAGGAGGACCGCACAGCAGAATCTTAATATCAGCGGCAGGTGCAGGACATACCTCCTACTCGTATATTAATTACATAATATTATCACCGCCGTCAGCTCAAATCTATCACTTGACGTCTCACCCAAAAAAACACAACAAATACAGCGAGCAAATATTGATGGCCGGGCGGTGAGATCAGAAACCTCACCTTGATCATATCCTCCGTCACGAACCCAACCCCACCCTTCCAACTTTCTGGGGGATTATTCAACACATAGTGGATTCGAAAGTTGCTATGACTTCCGGCCAGCTCATCTAGCTCATCCTTCAGCAAGATATCTTCCATATTCACATTGGCGAATATGAAATCAACCTCGGTCTTGTCCTCCGGGTTCCTGATAATAGCCTTAATGATCTGAAGCATAGGAGCTAAGCCAGTACCTCCGGCAATCATCCCGAATGCGCGTACGAGACCAGGCCGATAAACAAATTGCCCTTTTGGGCCCTTGGTCTTAATGTTCTGCCCAATATTGAGCGATTCAATATGCTTAGAGATGTTTCCGGCTGGATAGGACTCGATCAGCATACTGAAGGATCCGCGGTCGGTCTCATCAGAAGATATAGGTGTGTAAGACCTAACTACATCCGCACCATTAACTCTGGCGGAGAATTGAATGTGTTGGCCAATCGGAAGACCAAGAACGTCTGTAGAGCGAGGAAGAGCAAATTTATAGCTACCAGTGGCTCTGTCAGTAATCACAGAGCCCATAGTACCACGAAGTCGTTATATCGACCTACATTCCAGTGTTGTGAGACAGTGCTGTAGCTTCTACAAGTTTGAAACCCTGCCACTTATCTGCCCTCAGCACCCTCCTTGGGCCATCTTAACACAACCGTCAGTGGCTATCTCCATCAATAGTCCAATGTCACACTCGTTGTCTGCTAGTACTTACGGCCCTTCAGAACCCGAAACCCTCCGAAGATCAATACTGCTAGTGCCACATAGGGAACGTGATCATGGCCTAATAATGCTGTACCAAACACCAACAACCCAGCAGGAATATAGAAGTTCTGCAGATGCTGGAAACTGAACAACGAGTCCTTCATAGCAGCAGTAGCGTTCGACATAATTCCAAGTGCTTTCCCCATAAAACAGATCAAAGAGAATAGTTAAGTGGAATCTGGTCGGGAAAACAAAAGGTTAATATCTAAGGCAAAAGCTGTGGACGGGGCCAGGTTAATTTCTTAGAAAACGGGTCATATTTTTTCTCTGGGGCCACCTTATTTCAAGTTCGGCGTCCCAGGACGGAGGGGAGGGAGAAATCTGTTTACTGACAATTTGATAAATATTAAGAGATTACTCGGGAAATATTACTAGTACGGGAAGTTGTGTAAACGGGGTTAGGTGTATCTAGTCCCCAAGGCCAGAGGTGTAGCCAAGACCAAGATACCATTCTGGTAGGCATTTGCCGATCCATTTACTCCGCTCTCCCCACCAAACACAAGTCCACAGACAAATACTTGCACAAACAATTCTCAAAATTACCAATCCCCTTACCCAATTTCTAGTTCAGGCCAGAGCCACCTCGCGGAGGTATTCCAGCCAACCAACGAAAATGACCAAATCGGTCCTGACAGATTTTAAAACGGCGGACAAAGTGGCTGAGGCTCAACACGATGGATATCAACTCACCGATAAAGATATCCAGCAGTTAGCCTTGACTGACCAGGAGTACAAGCTCCAGACCTGGGAAGATTTGAAGGCTATAGTTGGTTCGCTTAGCCCGTGCTCTTCCACTTGAGTTAGGCAGAGAAACTGACAGAAGCCTTTTGCCTCTCAGAGGAAAATAGACTTGAAGATCTTAAACGTGTCCCTTCCGATTTGAAGCGTTATATCTCGTGGTCTCATAGAACCAGAAAGGAGTATGGAACTATTCAGGCCTTCGTATTAAAGGAGAGATTAGGATGGACAGATTTGGCAGCAGAGAACCCGACCCCGTTTGCTTCCAAAGGTTTGCCCTAACCCCAACTTGCAAGGCTGCGCATTGGTGCAGCATGTGAGTTCAGATTGGGAAAGATCAATTCCAAACTTCCAATCACTAATTATCACGCTTATAGCTGATACCAAAATATTGGTTAACGATTGGCCATATGGCAATGCTCCCGGTATATGTGAGTTTCTGCCATTCTGTTCCGTATTCGTCTTTTTGTAACATTGGATCTCTGGATCTCTATACACCCACTCCAAATGTATCCGGAATTCATGGCGTCCACCGGGCCCGGACCGTGCCGAGTTTTCTAATAAATTTGGAATGGGCAAGCACACGAATGTCTCCGATAACTAACCGCCTCTAGTAGTGCACCTAGTAGCCTGGACAAAAGCATTCATCCCAATCATTCAAGAACCCGGTCCCGAAGTCGGTGATATCACTCCCGAATCTCGCAACCTTATCAATGACTTTGTTCAACACACCTTCATTCAACACCTAGGCGCCGAGAACGTGCTTTGGTTCAAGAACTGGGCTAGTATTCAGAGTGTTCGCAGCGTTGAACACATTCATGTTCTTGTCCGTGGGGCCAGTGATGAGTTTCTTGAGAGCGTTCTTGGTCTGGAGGTAAATGGGAAGATGAAGAAGGGTATCGGTGAGCTGGAGCGGGAGAGGGAAGAAGGGGAGAGCGCCTAGAATATCGAGTGATTTATTATGAGCTAAAGGACAGCTATAAGGCGAAAACGGAGAAAATTATAGCGATACCAGGGCAGTCGGCACTCGAGTAGAGTAGGACGGACTTTCTCTTTTCAAATTTCTATTTTGTGGGTCCTAAGGGCAGGGGAAATCAAGGGTGAAACTTTGGTGTTGCTATTTTACTCGTACGGATCAGAACCGCGGGGAGCGTCTACAAAAAGTTCAAAGGAAGGTTGGGGAGCATGTGAGTTACCGGCACCCACAAAAGGCTAGGAGGGAAGGGGCTTAAGGTAATCCCGGGACCCTAGGTGCCGGTCGTCGTTGGCGAGAGGAGCCTTTGCTTTTCGACAGGAGGGATTGTTTTCTTCTCTCGCAAACTGTACTACTAGGTAGATATCATGGAATAGATAGCAAGATAACCGGCAAGCCGGACTGGAGCTTTCACCAATACTATCTTACGAGTACACAAGGACTCAATATTTGTCTATTCATTAGACAAAGTAACTGAGTGCATTTAAAGTTAGACGTGAACGTGGAAAGATAAAGTTTGGTGGGGTTTCTGACTAAGGAGCGCCAAGCCGCCTCGGCGTGGCAGTTACGAAACACACGATTTTGAGGGCCGAAAACCCCATACAAATATTTGACTAGAAATTCGACTGGAAAGGAGGCCGAGCTTAGGGTGATAAAAAGTTCAGCGAGGGAAGGCGGTTGTCATGCGGCGACCAGATACAATGTTGATCCGTCTCCCTTCTGTCAGCCCTCATTCGCATATAAATAGGCTCTCCCCGTACCAGCTCTTTCCTCTCCCTTTCCTTTTCCTCTCCTTCTCTTGTCCTTTCGCTTCCAACCAACGACTCTCTAACCAACACAACAACCTCTTTCACTACTACCCACGCCAACTACCACCACTAATCTTCAAGAGACGAATTATCCTTTCTCCTTCAACCTTCACTAGCTTTCGCTTTTAATCCACAACACAACAACTATCAATCAATATGACCGGACGTAAGTTATCTCTTGCTTTACCATTCCCCCTTGCTACAGTTTCACGGTCGGCTCTGTTGTGGTCGCTTTTTCGACCTACGACGCGTCTCCCCACCATCAACTACCAACCAAACTAATTTAACTCCAACCATAATCAACAAAAACAATTCACTAACATGCTATTAATATAGGCGGAAAGGGCGGAAAAGGTCTTGGAAAGGGAGGAGCAAAGCGTCATCGCAAGATTTTGCGTGATAACATTCAAGGTGAATACTTTGTCGAGCCCTCACTATCCTCACCATACTAACATACTATAGGTATTACCAAGCCAGCCATCCGTCGTCTCGCTCGTCGTGGCGGTGTCAAGCGTATCTCTGCCAGTATGTTCACTTCAGCGTTCCACTTCAATCCCATTCAGTTCTAACACTCCAAATAGTGATCTACGAAGAGACCCGTGGTGTCCTCAAGACCTTCCTTGAAGGTGTCATCCGTGATGCAGTCACCTACACAGAGCACGCCAAGCGCAAGACCGTCACCTCTCTCGACGTTGTCTATGCCCTCAAGCGCCAGGGCCGTACTCTCTACGGTTTCGGTGGTTAAACATCCTTCAATTTCTTGTTTTTTTCGGTGTTTTTTCCAAAAAAAGGGATGATGGGAGGGAACTTTCAATGCGGGTGATGTTCGAGCTTTTTCCTTTTGTTGAAGAAATCTTTTCCCTTGTTTCTTTTACAGTCGAGGAGGGGGAGGCTTCGTGTTTCGATTTGTAATAGCTAGTCCATGCGCTACGGTGATTGTTTTATGCTTGTCTGGATTCTGAATAATTGGGTTCTACATACAATCTTTTTTTCTTTCGCGCGCAGTGCTGTTCTAAAAGTTCATGTCTGCTCTCAAGACGAAAATGCAAAAGAAGCATAAAAACCGCAAATGTGGGACTCTCCAAAGACCCCGAAAGAAAAGGGGAGCGAGCACCATTACCATATCCCTACCCTACCCAATGAGCCACGCAGGCGCAAGCGCACACAGTATTTATCCTAAGGCGGCGCCGTTTCCGGAACCCTGCAGTGTCGGGGACTGGCCAATGATGCGTAGATAAATGTATCGATAGAGGAACCATCTTTATCGTGGGCTTCGATGATTCCCGATGCTTTTCGTGGTCACCCATTGTCACTCGGGATGGCAGTGTCTAGGCGAAAGTCTGGATCACTAGACCTAGCTTTGTAGGCATTTAGTAGTGTTGCTGTACGGATAGATGCTCTGACTCACGAGTACTTTTTTTCAAGGGGGCTATTGTGGTGCGGACGTGTTTAATGGACGGGTGAATGGATGGATGGATACATTGGTTTGCTAACTTAGGGTACGAGTAGCAGGATATAATCACCCGCAGTGATAGGCGGTAGCTACTGGTAGACTCGATCGGGTGTCATCTTTTTCTTTCTTTCTCCCGAACAACACCAAACAACAAAACAAACAAATCAATCACCCCGATTAATTATACCGGGCCTTCTGCCCCCCTTTCTTCTCCGCCTTCTTCTGCCGATTACTCCGCGGTCCATCCGGTGCGGCGGCGGCGGCAGAGGGCGACGACGACATGCCAGGCATCAACCCGCTCATGCCACGGTACATTCCAACGGCCAGGTAAACCGCGTAGATGGGAACAATAGCCTACCATGCCATACTGTTAGCCCCCACCCGCCTGCCCTCTCCTTCGAAGGGTATATAGATATATAAACATACCAGAACCCACCACCCCCACTCCCCCACCACGCCAACAAGTCCGAGTACGCCCCAAGTCACGTAGACGATATCCCACATGTACTCCGTAACGCCCTTAGCCTCCATATCCTCCCCAGCGGAGACCAACACCCCATCCCCTCCGGGGGAGGAGTATTTCGGCCGACCCAGCCGCTCGAGGTAGATCTCTACCACCAGGGACGGGAGCGAGAGCGCCGCGTACTTGCTCCAGGAGCCGGAGCGGTAGAGTAGGCGGTAGAGGATGAAGAGCGTGTGTAGGGCTAGGGTGGTGATGTGTGCGCGGTTCAGGGTCGCGGTGTTGGCGCGGGCGAGCTGTTTTGCCGCTTTCTGGAAGGGGGGGTTGGCTTATTGTTAAAATGTTGGCTAAGTGTTGCGATGGAGGAATAGGGGACTTACATTTGCCATTCCGGAGTTTGCGATGGTTGATGGTGCTATTGCTGTCGCTGTTGAAGGAGTAACGTGCTGTAAAAAGAAAAGGTCGAGAAGAAGGGAGGTGACAAGGCTGGAAGGACAGGTGTTTTTCACTATTCAAGACGGGGATTTTTTTTTTTTACACAAACTCCGTCCGATGAGGCTTAAACTATTTTATCTTATCTCGTTATCAGATTTGGGAAATTGAACGAAAAGGGATTAGTAAGGTATGATAAGGTATCATACTTGGAGTCGTGAGCACCAAGAAAAAAATTCAAATAAAATAAAATATGCGGGGGCGAACTCGAATTTTTCCATCCAAAAAAAATAAAATAAAAAAAAATAGGGACGCCTAATTCTCGCTATAAGCGGCTCCGATGATCAACTCTCTCATTGGGCGATAGAAACCCTGAATCCAATCGGAGCAGGGTGTATGTGATCACCCTCTTTTTCGCAGTTCTCTTTCCGACGAAAAAAAACCAGCGGGGGGGTTGACGAACGGTGTATGGTATGTAGTAGTGCAGCGATCGTGCAAAAAGGTTCCCACCACCATGAATGGTGCTATGCAACCTTTGAAGTTGGTGACACTCCTCATGAGTGCTGAACAGATGAAGGATAGAAATCGCGCAACAAAAGGGTTTTTGCCAATATGTTGTGCTGTCCATTAAGTACTTTTACATATTTGATCAGGTCTGGTGCCATCTTGTGAGAATGAAAGGAGGATTGATGTTGAGGTGAGAAATGGAAGAGTGTAAAATAAAATAGGGATAGAAAAGAAAAGATAGCTTGGTGGGTTTGGTATTTAATTTTGGGTTATTGAAGTAATATCTTTGTACATAATTGAAAGAATATTTGCTTGGGCAGAAAGAAGGAGGACTGGATTGGAAAACAATAGCTAATCAGGAACGTATATTTTACCAGTACCTTAATGGATTTGATAATTTTTATATATCTCAGCTGAATGTTCGTATGTCATATGTTATACAAACTTTGTTCTTGTTTTATATTTCCTTAATTTCTTTAAGCTATTAACTTTTTTATAGTAAATATAAACTTATGAAAGTATTAAATATTAAGTTAATCTAGTTGTAATTATTTAAATAGGCAGTCTAATTAGTTTTTGTAATATTAATTCATAAGAGATTAGTAGTAAAAGGAAGTTAGTAACTACTTATAATTTTAAATATACTTTTATTTTAACAAACTTATATAATTACAAAGTGATTAGTATTATTAAAACTATTAGTAAAATTAGGTATTATATTGTTACAAACTTGGTGTGGTTTGTAAAGGATTTCATATATTAGGGTTTTTGATTAACAACTTATTTAATTTGTATAATGTTATGATTATTGTTTGTACACATAACTCACATAGGTTTCACACATGACTTAGATTTTAAATTATGATAGTTATATAATATTTATATTGTTAGTTAGATAGGAGTAAGCATTGTAAGGCTTACTTGAATTTGCATATATGACCTATTTAGGGGTCATAGGGGCCATACGGATGACCTAGGAAGAGGTTATAAGGATAAAAATCATATATCATAGTCAGATGGGGCACAGCTGCAATTCATATAACAATTGGATTTGTAAGTGAGTTGTGGGAAGATTTATATGTTAGGAATACCAGAACCCGATACCTAGAAACCACCTTAAGTAGGGTAACCCCACTCGGAATTGGAATCTCTGGTCTCCAACACCCCCCTCCGGCTCCCTTACGGGGCCCGTGCGTCATTATATATATTAATATCAGTTTTGTCCTGTGACTATATTGCCACAGAATTGAAGGTGTTAGAATAACACCATATACGTTATCGCCGTCCATCCGACTGGATCCTGTTCGCAGGATATATGAGAGGGGACCTTCAGCTAGGTCTGGGAAGTGGAACGGAGTAATTCCGTCAACTACTCAGAGAGTTACCTGGCTTTAAAGACATGACACCTTTGGCATGGGCCGTAAGTAACAGGACGATTTCGCACAAAGAGATGGTATCAAATGGTAAAGGATCTCTATTAGAGACCAATACATTTACATCCACCAGAAGAGTCTAGAACTCTAAAAAGACACTACCAAAGAAGCCAACAGACTTTACGGAGTGTTGCAACTGGGTTTCGGAACACGTTGTAGCCATGGGGTGATTCTCAATACTACAGTGATTACTGAAACCTACTACCCAGAGAGCAACCAAGGGTTGCCGACCGAGGGATTAATTACCAATCTGGTGGAATAGCTTCCTGCGAGTTAATAGGAAGTCATCCAGAGAAAATCTATCGGTTGAGTATGGAGTTACAAAGGATCAGAGTCAGATGACCTACGATGGTTGTAATGATGACCACCTTTGCAGATATAGCCATGGATGAAACTGATCATTTTATCAATGACAAAGACAATTGGGGCCAACTCAGTTCGACTTAAGGACTAGGCCATAAGTCTAAAGACTCTGCTAATTGAGATATTACTATTGGGGACAGTACGTTTCCTAAATAGAAATCTCATAATTACCGAAGAGGGTGTGATGGTTTTCAGGGTCCACAGGTGTTCGCACCTTGGAAGAAAACTCAATGTCACGAATTATGATTGAAGAAGTACATAGTTGTATGATAAATAGATGTAGTCTGCGAACACTCAGACATGGAATATAAATATTAAAGTGCCTCCCAAGCTTTAGACATCATCAAACAACGGAGAAGAGACCTTAATAATATAATATTGTTTTTACGATTCTACCCTACTTTACCTATTTTACTTCGCTCCAAGTAGTCATAAACGAAATGAGTAACATCCGAGCCTTCCTAGACAATCTCTGTCTACAGAAACGAATCTCGATTGGCCTAGACAACCTTGAAGTCTATCAAGTTGTTTCTGCCTAACATTATATAAGGCAATAGATTCGGCCTTTGAGATAGATGTTCATGCAACCACTTAAGTTATTTCCTAGCATATAGCTTTACGAGTACTACTTTATATTCACACATTGCATATCTTCCATACTGAAAAGTATTACAAGTATAGTGAATGATAGTTGCTGTTAGAGTACTTAAGAAAATAATGGTATTTTCTTAAGTAATAGGAGACAACTATGAGGTAATTACTATATTAAAGAAGATTAAAGTAATTGCCCATATTAATTCTATGATAAGACTTGTTACATATTAAATAACTATATTCTAGGAGTGATTGAAGAGCAATTCTAACATATATTTTTACTAATAATTATAGTACTTAAAGCTATATATACAGAACTCATATATAAAAATAGTTGTTGTAAATACCTTTCAGATAAGTATTTTAGATAGTAGATACTTATCTGATAAGTTTATTTTGAAGACTAATATTTTGGGAAAATTATAGTTTAGTATTTAATTAAAGTATTTAGAAAATCATTGTTCAATATGTATGATTTTTATAGAGAGTGATATATAAATTTATTATATCTTGTAATAATTATAAATTTATTTTCTTTTATATTTATTTTTATTATATGTTTTCTCCAATAGCTGAGTATAAAAGATTTCAGCTATGTAAGTATTATTTTTAAATTTGTAAAGTTAATACTAATAGTATAAATAAGTACAGTTCTGCAAAAAAGGTTAAAATTACCAACAACAACAAAACCAGTTAAACTGCTCAAGCTATTTAGTATTCTATAGAGTACACTCTGGGTATCTTGAAATATATTTAATCTTTAAATTTGAGTAATATGAGACTAATAATGATTATTTTAAAAATTTGATCAAAAATCTTTTTTTGCATAGCTTGATAAACAATCATTCAATGTAGCTATTAGTAAGATTTCAAATATTTTCAGGAGTAGAATTTGTAGTTATGATTAAATGTTTGTATTATTTCAAGATTTAATGTAAGAAGATTTAAAATAAGAGGAATTAAGCATAATTTGCACCGACAATAAATGCTAAACAATCTAAGCATCAGCCTAAGCAGAAACTAGAAAAAGATGCAAATACTAATAGTCAGATGACAGATTATCAAACTCTACTCCATATTAAACTCAGACATGGTCGTCTACTAGGCTCTAAATACAAACCAAAACTTGTTAATTCAAGTTAAAATATATATTAATTCTGCTTACTTAACTCTTATAATCTTATTGTATATTATTAATTAAAATCATTATTTGAGTCTATTAATTTCCCAGAAAATAAAAACTATTTACTTATACTTAATTACATAGTTAAAGTGATTGTTATAGTAAATTCCTGTGCTGTCTGCTGCATAGATACTTAAGTAGTTTCAATTTCTTTATCAAAAACTGTATTTTCCTTTTTCTCAAAACCTGTCTAGTTGCTATGTAAACTAAAACCACATATAAGTCAACACAACCAAACATAAACAAAACTGACTGGTAGATTAGGCTTCCAAGGTATACACTACACTGAGGATAGGCTGGTGACAAGACGAAGAACTGGATCAGACAGGGAATAAGGCTAAGAACAAGACAGGAAACAGAATTGTAAACAGTAATATAAACAGGGGAAAATCTAGGTACAAGGGAAACAAGATACCAGATTGTGGACTAATTAGAGTACAGAACTGAGAGTAGTTATTGAACAGTTAGACACGTAAGAAGAGATAACAGTTTATGTGAGAAGAAAAGAAAAGAGAAATGAAGAGAAATAACTGAGGGGAGGAAAGAGAAGAAAGATAAACTAACATGTAGCATAATAAGAAAACATGGTATTACCTTAACAAACATATCCATCTAGGATAACAAGAACTTGTTATATCACAAAACAGAGCTTTGGCATTAGACATATGATGAATAAAGGAAAGAAATAAAAGAAAGAAAAGAGAAAAGAAATATAAGAAGGGAGAAGTAAGGAGAGGCAAAAGGGTAGTGAAAAAAAGAAAAAGAAAAGGAAAGTATATATACTGTAATACAAGGGGCAGATTTACTCCATACTCCGTCGCTCCTATTTTCCTCCCACATAGTTTGGCACACCACGTCAGCTATCGTGGGCCCCCTCCACTCTCCTCTGCCCCCTCGATGGTTCCTGCCTAGGGGCACGGTTAACTCTTTCATCCTCTCCCACTTTAGCCTCGCGTGT